GAATGAATATGAAAGTGTAAATAATAAAATATTATTAACACAGTCTTGTAAAAGCAAAAGAAACATCTTAGAAAGGCAGCTTCTTTCAAACTTGATAGGAAAACTGTTAACTACAAAATTTCGCCTGAGCAGTTATTAACTATTATTATTATTATTATTATTATTATTATTATTATTATGGGTTATACATATAAACTTTCCATCTTGGGAGTAAATTCTCCATCTCATGATATTTGTTTTGTCATTATTCATAATTTCCAAAGGTTTTTCTTTTTAAAAAAATCTTCAATAATAAATACTACGATGACGATTATTGATAATATTAATTCATGTAAAACACGAATTTCTCCTATCTCTCTCTCTCATGCTTTATAAGTGTATTATCTATTTACGTGATCCACTCCTTGTATTTCTCTCTTCATGCATACCTACACACACACACACAGATATTATATGTTGTACAGAGCGAGAGGGAGTTAGCGAGAGAGAGAGAGAAGGGTGGTAGGAGTATAGGCAAGAAAAAAGTTCGTCAAAAACATCTTCAACCACCTCATCAGCATCATCATCATCATTGTATCGTCGTCATCATGATCATCTCTACAATCATGACAAATGATATCATTAATTAAATTTATGTAGGTAGAAGTTGATGGCATTCTGTCTTGTCTTGACTTGACTAATTATTATCATCTAGTCAGCTTATTCATTATTATTATTATTATCATTACTATTATTAATACTATTACTATTAGTTGGTGTATTACTCCATTTTCCCCACTTGTGTTCAATGTTGTCAAGATATAAATATATCTTACTTCTTATCGTTAACATTACTATCTCAGTTTTCCTGTGGAATAATAATTTCAGAAGAAATTATCATTCTTTGCTCGTTCGTTGGCTTGTCGGTTCGTTTGTTTGCTTGCTTGTTGTTTCTGTCAACTCGGTTGGTGTTGGATAGACTATTTACATACAAACAGAATTGCCTGAGCAAGGGAATATTTTTTGAAAATAATAATAATAATCCCGAAGTGTACAAATCTATCTACAAAGATCTTATTACATGAATAAAGAACTTAATACTAGTATATATAAAAGGAGAAAAAGGCACACAAAAAAATAGGAGAAAAACCGTTTGTAACCGTTTGCATGACTCCTTTTCTTCAATTTTCATCTCTCCCTCTCTCTGTGTCTCCTATGTCTCCTGAATGCAAATACTATCAGTTTATCATGATTTCACTTGGCGGTGGGGGGGGTATGTTGGCATACATACTACTTATTCTGTTAGTAAGTAATACTGGTTATTGGTTTCAAGTTTGATCACGGATTGATATAAAATATTATAAAACTACACAACATAAAAGCATCAAGGAGTACTGGATAGCTGTTTCGTCATGCTTCTAGCGACTCATCGGTAGTACTCACCCATCGACTGAGGTTAGAACAAACAACTTTCCAGTTACAAGACCAATGAGCTCATGTATTCCAGTTTCTATCAATTTGTGATTTTAGCGTGAGTGTTTGTCCTTACTGCGGATCCCAGTGGTGGGCCCCACGGGTGATGACTTCTCAGCAGAACTCCTTGGTTTTCCACTGTGGTTTTCTAACTGATATCAGTCCGTTGTCGAACTTAAACTACTGGTTACAATATTACTACTATTGTCGGTATCAAATCAAAAATCCAAACAGAGAACAAGAGGGAAAAGTGACATTTACGCGAACAGCTGTAGCACGCAATTTTGCTATACGAGGGTGGGGTCGGTCGTTGGTTGGTTGGCTGGTGTGAGATTTAGGGCGACACATGTTTGTGAAGACAGAAAAAATCCCATGAAAGAGGTAAATGTGTAGAATGCATAACATTTAGCTAAAGTATTATAGCGCGCGCACATACACATACAAACATACTAGTTCACGGGATTATTATTTCATTCTTTTAATCTACTAAATATGAAATTTAAAAAAATTTGACAAGGGAATTTATCAAAATTCAGTAAACATTTAATTGACAATTCGGCTTTACTTATTGTTTTTTTCCTATAAATGGGGGGAGTATTTACGGTATCATTTTATAAGGGTCACGAAATTAAAAGAAAACCTTTTTGAGTGAATTGTTATCAAGGTATTGTCTTTTTTTCCCACCAGGTCACATACACGCACATATATATATATCACCAGAAGTCTCTTTTTTATTCATAAACCAAGTTTACATTCTAGTTCCTTTGGGCTTCCTCTGAGTGGAACACAGGGCTTTGACCTGAAGCTTCGAAGTTTCAGTAGAACTGGTGTTTTATTTTTATGCGGTGAAGGTGGTAGCCTCACACCAAACCTCCTCTCTTTAACGGGCTTAATATCACCGGTTAAATGAGGTTTGGGAGTTTGTCAGTCAAGAAATGAAACCCGTACAACTTTAGTGGTTGGCGAGCATTTTACCACTGAAGCACTCAGTGACACATAGTTCAGTGGTAATCAATAAATAGAAAGAATAAATGTTGAGGAATCGTACGAAATGCGAAATACTCCTTTTGTGTAGAGGTCATAAAAGGCACTGAAATAGAAACTAAGTCAAGCATAAAATACCTAGAGGGACAGCTGTTTCCTCTGACCTTTCTCCGTTATCCCATATGTGATCGATTTTTAAGAAAATGTCCCAGTTAACCTTTTACATTAAGAAGTTAAGACAACCAGTAAGCACTCAAACTCCACTTTTACAGTTTTTTTAACTCTACCATCTTACCTACTGTTCTGTACTGTCACCTCCGTTAGTCTTTCCTGGGCTACTGTAAAGGACTTTATCATATATTGAAGGGTTTTATAGGTTGTTAGTAGGGCATATGGTGTGTCACTAAGTCAGCTGCTTACTGTTGTAGTCGACAAACATCTGAAACCATGCGAGAAATGTCTGATACTCAGCACCCTTTCTATTCACAACTGTCTCCCTCCCCCCACTGCATCTCATCAGGTGGAATTAGAAGTCATTCTAAAAGGTTAAATGCTCTCCCGAGCGAATGAATACAAAATCTCAACGATGCCCTTCTCAACCCGTGTTCTATGTGATAGAGAAAATGTTAGGTGTGAAACCTATTATGTAATTAGTAAAATAAATGGCTCTTTTGTTTTCTTCTGTTTGTAATTTATAAAGACAATATTTTAATTATCTTATAATTTCAGTTATTAACACTAATATTATTATTATTATTATCATTTTATACTTTTTGTACATTTTTGAATTTATTGTTACTGGTAATATCAGAAAGAATGTTGCTATTGTCAATTTTGTTTACCGATACTATGTAATGTTTTTCATTATTATTGCTGAGTGAATTAGGTAAAACATTGTACTAAATGCTGAGAATTCCATGCTGTAGCATAAGTATTGTTTTGGAATAAAGCAAGCTATATATATATATATATATATATATATGCATATAAAGAAACAACCTACCTACCCGGACGGAACTAATGAGGATATCAAAGCGAGGATCCGGAAAGCAAGGCAACCTTTAATTATTCTCAAGTCTGTGTAGAGATCAACTGCACTCAGCAAGATAAATAAGATCCGGATTTTCAAAATTCAGTGTGAAGTCACTGCCACTATACGGATCAGAGACTTGGTGCTGCGTCACGAAGAGCTCTTTGAACAAACTACAGATCTTCATCAACAACTGTCTTCGCACAATACTACTCAAGATCAGATGGTCAGCCTGAAAAGATCAGCCACAGGGATCTCTGCGAACGAACCAACCCAGCAGGAACCAACTGTGCAACAAATACGCCAGAAGAAATGGAGGTGGATTGACCGTACTCTGAGAAAACCTTCAAGCGATATCACACACTAGGCCACCCCTCGAGTGGAACCCGAATGGGAAGTGGTGAGTTGGTGGTCAGTACGAGAGTAACATGGAGGAGGTGATGTGAAGAGGAGATGAAAGCATGTGGGCAGACGTGGAGCCAGGTGAAAACGTTGGCGGAGAAACAAAAACAGTGAAGATGTGCGGTTGAAGGATTAAAGGAAACAATAATATGCATATCTGTATATATATGATTCATCTTATTGACAAAAATATTTATAATTTATATAATCTTATAAAGGACCTTATTATACCTTCATATGATACAAAAGATAGCCAGAAACTGTAAAAACGAATTTTTCCTACATGATAAATATTTTGAAAATCATCAAAAAAAATGGACACGTATTTGTTTATTTATTTGTTCTGGCCTTCAAAATTTTCAATAGTAGTTTGTACTCACTCACAATAGAATCACTTACCTGATCCAAGTCCACTTGATGACAAAGTAAGCATTGTGGCATTCAGACAGTAACTTGAAACTCAACATTCCAAGAATAATTAATCCTCTGTTTATGGAAACTTGGTAAACAACGAAGTACACTCAGTCGTTTTAAGTTCAACCACTGATTGATGTCAGCTGGAGAACTATTGAAAACCAATAGAGTGTATTCAGAAGCTGTTTCATCCAGACCCTTACAAATTAACCAACTTGAAAATGAATCAGACTCTCAGTAGTAACTGTCTACAGGACGAAGTTGACTAGAGTTCTTTCTAGTTAAAAGTCGTGACCAGTGAGGCTCATTTAGTAGGGAGTGAGTGTAAACACTCGCATCTGATCACTCTGGGGGGGGGTGGGGTGGTCACGCTAAGACAAAGAATTGACAGAAGTTAGAATTAATGGGCTGGTTATTAAGTAGGGTCCTATTGGCTGAATGGTATACGGGCCAACTGGCCTTGTGATCAGAGGGTCCCGGATGCTTACTGCTGGAAAGTTGCAAAACTTGAAGAAACAGCTGTCCAGTACTCCTTGATGGGTTTCCAGTGTGTTTCTCTAACTGACACGTATCCGTGATCAAGCTTGAAACAAATCCAATAACTAACTTATTCGTATTTATATTAAATTTAATTTAATATTAAATTACACGATAGTATTTTTCACGCCTCTTTCACATTTTCCTTTTCTTTTTGCATTCTCGTTTTTATAAATACCAGAGTCAAATACTTTTATCTGAAGCTCATCCAAATGTTAAACTATCCAAAGATATATTCTATAGTTTAATAGTTAAATCATCTGGCAGCGCTACACGACTTATTCGACTACTAATGAAAAGTTTTTTTACACAAGACGAATTAGCTGCCTCATCTTTATCTGGTGAAGGCATATATAAACAACGTTTGGAGCCAAGTGTTACAGAAGCGATAAAAAGTAAGTTTTACAACTCTTTTTTCTCTTCATTTCTTTATGTTCTCAGTGGAACATTGGATCTCAAGCTAGAGCTTCGCATTTTTCAGTAGCAGTGGTGTTTATTTTTACGGGATAGAGTTGCTAGCCTCACGCCTAACCTTCCCTCTTTACCTGTCTTATTACCTGTTTAGCGAGGTAAAGGAGTGTATGAGTGGCCGGAGATCGAATCCCGGACCACATGCGTGGTTGGCAAACATCCTACATCTGTGCCACCAACGCCCCGGGACGAAATTGACTGGAAGTCTTTCTAGTAATAAGGTGTAACCGGTGGCGCCCATTATCAGGTCGGGAGAGAGGGCAAATATTCGTCTCGGATGAGGTGGTCACGCTATAATCATGAATTGGCAGAAGTTTTATAATTCATTGGCTGACCATTGAGTCAGATGCCAATGGTTAAATAGGCCAACAAGAAGGTCGTGAGTTAGAACCCTTATGGGTTCTTACTGTCGACGAGTCCCAAGCACTAGGACGAAACAGCTGGTTTTCAATGCCTGTCTAACTTACATCAATCCGTGATTGAACCTATAGCCAATCAAATCCCCAGAAAGTTACTCCTGAAAATAAAATGCCTAAATTCATTTATAAGTTTTCTATCCAAAGCATTTTAAAATGTATCATTCCTGTCAAACGGGATTATACATTGTCAAAGATCAAATAATTTAAAACAGTTAGTTCCCCTGATGTATTCAGACAAAGCAATAAGAAGATGTAATTTATCTGAATCGTGTAATGTGTATATGCGCAACATATTTCGAACAATCGGATCACACACATGGACCTGACATAGGGATATGTAAATGAAATTAATAAAGAGTTACGAGGTGAGAAAATAAACTTAGATCAAGTTAAAAGGACATATTGAAGATCAAAATAACAATGAAGATCACTAAACCAAACAAGAGAGGTAATGGTACATCTACCCTGGCTGGTATTAAAATAAAGTTCACCAAGGAAGATTTCGTATAATGGGGAATTGTTGCTTTGAATGCATAAAGGTGGTTTAAACTTCCTAATTGCTGGCTAGGGCACACAAGCTTTAGGATACGCCCCAAACACGTTTTACAGATAGGTTTAAAAGATGTGTTAATGTCAATTTTATGTCCTGTCTCTATAATATGTTTCTCAGTGGAGGAGCTACGTCTCCTGTTCCCACCATTAATAGCTTCTGGGGATTCTATTTGTTTCTGGAGCCATTTAGAAATATACCGTGAAGCCAGCCCTTACTTGCAGAGATCGATGAGCCCTCCCTATGTATGTGTGTCCACATATACATTCAAACTGGTATATGCAATGGGATTCGACATCATTTTTCGCATGTTCAAAGGGCTTGGATGGATATATTGGCTTCACATTCTCAATTATTATGATATTAGCTGCATAAAAGTCTTTCTAAACACAGCAGCGTTCAGTCTTTGTCTAGTTGTCAAGCTGCTATGATTCCCCATACAAGGTAGCTTGATGTACACGTCTTTCTTAGGGGTGAGTTGGAGAGTGGGTGTCTTAGTGTTCTGACTACTTTATATCTCCTAATGATGAACTTGTCTGGATAACTATTATCAACTAGAGTTTGTGTCAACTTTCATTCTTGCTCATCAAGTCTTCTTGTTACCTTATCTAAATAAATAATTGAAAATGAAATTAAATATACAAGTTTGTCATTTACCTTTCATAAATTGTGATTTAAGAACAAAAGTACACGCAGAAAGCTTACTTTACGATGAAAAAACAAACAAACAACCCAACTATCTATCTATCTATCTACTATCATTATTAAGTTCATTATTGCTTTAACAGCATGATTGTATATGTAAGGTGACGGATGATAAAATAGTTTCAAATGATTGTATAATTTCAAACTTTAATCAGTCATTTATTTTTATTGTTAAAAGTGTTATGTAATGTACTTGTTGTAAATGAAAAAACAGAGAAAAAGAAGAAAAAAATAGGAGTAGATTATTTGTCCTTAGCATATACACCGATTTAATCATTACATCATTGTATGAACAAACTGAACGAAGAAATAATATTGCTAATCAAGTGTTGGTTTCCAGGGATTTGATTGGTTACAGGATCTCATCATGAGCTGATATCGGTTAGAGAACTACTATTGGAAAACCCACCAGGGGGTACTGGATAGCTATTTCATCATAGTGCTGGGGATTCTCCAGCAGTAGGCACCAACCAATCGGTGCAGTTTGAACCCAGAACCTTCCCATTACAAGGTGAGCAAGCTAATAGACCACTAAGTTATTGAAGTTCGATCCATTTGCCAGTGCATGAATTCCAACTTCTCTCGACTCACAGTATAGTGCGATTGGTACTAATCAATGTCTTCTGAGGCGAGCATTTGTCCTTATACTCACCCTGGGGGAGCCTGCGTGTCAAAACTTCTTACTAGAACCCAGGCAACCACCTACATGAATAGGGTGATCCGATTAAATCGTAAATTAAGAGAGGCTGGGATTCATGGGCTGGTAGTCGGATCGGGTTCTGATGGCTGAATGGCCTGTTAGCTCTCTGGTCTTGTGACCGGAAGGTCGTGGGTTTGGACCCCACTGGTGGTTGCGTACCAATGAAGACTCCCAAACTAGGTTGATGAAACAGTTGGTTTTCCAATGGTTCTCTAACCAATGTCAGTTCATGATGAGATCCTGTAACTAAATATATTCCTCTTCAGTTAGTTCCTTATCATCAGCTGTACGCTTACATCAAAACTGTACTAGTCATGTGGTTATTTCAGTCCATTAGAATAATCACTTTCAGGTAGACAAAGGGGGATGGTGAAAATGAGAGGTTAAAAATCATCAAAACAATGAACGAAGTAGGTGTTATCAACAGGACAGCTAAATTCTCAAGGAGGGATTGGTGGAAATAATTACAGAATTCTAGATCAGTTAATTAGTCAGCCGGTGATGAGGAAATATTTTTTCGAAATCTGTAAATGGGAGTTTTTAAATTACTTAAGCTGGAACCCTAAAAAATATCCCTATAAAGTCCAAAGTTTGAATATCTGAATCTCTAACTCATTGGGGGGGGGTTGAGAGTTGTTCGATGGGTGTCTTGAATATCCAAATGAAATTTTTGGTCTAGTAGGTTCACATTTCACCGTGTCAGTGTGAAAAGAATGTCCATAGATGGTACTCGTTATCAAGAGCATTAAATTGCGAATTGATGTAAACTAGAATTTCAATACAGTCCTCATGTAGTCCTCACGGACTGACCTCGTAACCCGAAGGTCCAAGGTTCTAGTCCTGACGTGGTTGTGGATGAACACCGCTGAAAAGTCCAAAACTTTGGCGCAGCAGTTATTCAGTGCTCAATAATCAGACAGACTTCATTTCATTGTTGCTGAAAAAAGTGGAAATACAACCTACGGTACACAAAATCGAGAAGAGGAGCAGGTGCGGGATTACACCATTATCGAGTGCAAGAAACCTTCAAGATCAAATTGAAAGCCTTCAAAGGGACTGTAGACAGACTACAATTCAAGTCCAATTTCAAGTCCATCAGATCAAGATGTGAGATATTACTTAGCATCACTGAGGAAACTTGTGTGAAAGAACACTGGAACTATCTAAGGGTGATATTCAAGGAAACGTGCACAACTGTTCTAGGAAGAAAGAAAAACACGGCAAGGAATGGCTGTCAACGTATACCTGGAAGCTAACCGAAGAGAGAAGGATGGTGAAAGAGAAGATGCCTCCATGCAATGATGAACAACAGAAGGAGAAGCTGAGTTCGGTGTGTACAACGCACTGAATAAAGAAGTGAAGAAGAGTGCTAGAAAAGAAAAAAGACAGTTCTACGAAACACTGGAAACTGAAGCAGAACAGGCCACAGGTAAGAGGAGCCTCTGAAGGTTATACCAGATAACCTGGTCTCTGTCCGAAACAGATCAGAACATATGAGACCAATAAAAGATGGTCAAAGACGATAGACAAATAAAACAATGGGATGATCACTATAAAGGACTCTTGGATTGACCATCATCTGCAACTCGCCCAGAAATACCACCAGCAACAGCGACAGTGCTGTCAGTGGACACCAATCCTCCAACAAAAGCAGAAGTTTTGAATGCTATAAAGCTACTGAAAGTTCAGGAGACAGCAGAACCAGGCAGAATTCCTCTTGAAGTACTACAAATAGATCCAAAAACCTGAGAGGATATCTTCACACAGCTGTTGCAGATGTTTTGAGAGGGGTAGGGGAAGACAGAGCTTTAAACCACTTGGAAGAAGAGCTGACTTGTCAGACTAACAGATGACGAGTTGGATAATCGAGGATGACATGGTGGAGATTGTGTAGGGAAGAGATGTAAGCCAATGTGGAACGGTGGTGGCAGTTAACAGGATGAAGTTGAAAAGTGTAAATGTATTTACGGAAATGCAAATAATCACACTGATGAAAGAGGCATTTCACTGAAGTGTTTATTCTGTAAAAAAATAGATTTCTGACAGAATGAAAAAGAAAAAAAACAAACAAAACAAAATGCCAAACAGGAAAGGTTAAGCTAAAAATAATGGGAGAATTAAGAGAGAGAGAGAGAGAAAATTAACAATTGGAAGACAAAGGAAATTGAGAGGGAGAGAGCACGCGCGCGCGAGAGAGAGAGAGCATAAAAACAACACAAGCTGTTTGTAAAATTGATATTATTTAAAATACTTCAATTCATTTCATTTCACCAGAGTTGATTTCAATGAGTACACACTTGCATGTGAATCTTTCCGAATACATTCAAACACACACCGACACCCACACTCTCACATTCACATACGTAAATATTCCTCTAGGAGGATAAGTCGACATTGCTAGTTGATAAGTGTTCGGTAAAGAAAGAAAGAAAGAAAGATTGAAAGAGAGAAAATAAGGAGAAGAGGAAGTAGACCCGGGGGGGGCGGGAAGGAGAAATGAAATCGAATAAACTTAGCGGCACATGCACAGGTTCATGAGTAAAAAAATAT